GGATTAACTGCACGTTAGGTTTACACAACTTTCACTTTGGCAGGTTAAGCTTGATATTCTATTAGGATTCTTTTCCCTCGCCGAAAACCTGAGGAATGTCATCCATTGAACCATGCAAAAATATGCTGAAGAGGTATCATCATTATTGCTCATTTCATTAGCGCAAAACGTGTAGAAGGAACGAATGATATCATCTCCCTTTTTTTGAGAGCATACAAATACTGCTGCCCCTATATACGTTCGTTAAAGCTCTGAAGTTGTAGTGGTGAATTTTTTGCATCTCCCATTGGTCCGCATTTCAGCGAATCGCGACATAATCACGCTGGTATACTGGATCGTACAAACTTTGAAAGCGTACATATTTTGTAAGGGAACATTTTAAAAGGGTACCTATTTTGAGAGGGGACATACTTCGAAATTTTCTGAGCGTAATAGCATAAGCGTGCACACCCATACGAGCAACCCAGCGATTGTACAATCAGCTGCAGCGCCCACCCCCCCTCTCGAAAAAATGGCGTGCAACAACGAAGCAATCAAAAAATTTGTGCAGAAAATTATAGACGAAAATGTCATTGCGGTGTTTGCGAAAACGTAAGCATGGAAAGGGGTGTTTCTGATATGTGTTTTAAAATGAGAAAAAAAAAAGAATAATAAGAGGGAGAAAATTCAGAGGTGGCATCTACCATTTCCTCACATGTCCAACCGTTTCGTTGCCTTTTTTCTTCTTTTTTTTTTCCCTCAGGGAATGCCCGTACTGCATTAAGGCCATCTCCATTTTGAAAGGATATAACGTGGGCAATATGGTAAACAATTTCCGAAGTGGTCCAACACCACTAACACACATGCGCGTCATCTTATATGAGCACATGGAGACATCAGTAGGATGTGAACGTAGGAATTGAAAAGTGAGACGATTTTTACCTTCCCTTCTATCGTGTAGCATGTAGAACAAATCGAGAAGAACCCCAACATGGCGGACATCCAAGCCTACTTAAAAGACCTAACAGGTAGGAGAAGGAAGACTTTGCGCAGGAGCATTTTGCCCATCGTCAGGAGGGCCACTTAGCAAAAATAGCGCGTGACTCAGCGCTTCATTTGACGCTTGATTTTCCTCCCTTTTTAGGAAAGAGCTCTGTTCCGCGGATATTTATCAATAAGGAGATTGTCGGCGGGTGTGACGACTTGGTAAGGCAGAGCGGGGCGATCACAAAAGCGTCGCGCGGTGTAGCTAAATGGGGAAAAAAAAAAATATATCAACAGCTGTAAAAAAAGTGCAAAAGAATGCGAAAAAAATATGAACAAGCGTGGAAAAAAAAGAAATATACGATCATCTGGGCAACTGTACCAAATAGCTAGCTGCTGACAAATGCGTACCCCTTTTAACCACACAGGTGAAGGAGAACGAAGAGGGAAAGCTCCAAGAGCGCCTGAAGAAACTTGGCCTTCTCAATTAAATCGAAGGAAAAGCAACAATCTGGGATGAAGACCATTCGCTTTTAGGGCGCCCCTAACTGGTGCTGCTATCTTACAGCGTCGCTCTCGCCTCAGCTTGATTGAAAAAAAAGGCAGAATTAATTTTCGCATTTTGTGTAGACCACGCAGCGTTCCTGTTGTACGAGTGTGTAAAATTTTTTCTCCAGATGGGCACCAACGTTGTAGTGTGCATATGTAAAGGTATCTACGTGGGCATCATTGTGTGCACATATGTACGTACCTGTACCAGCGCGCACAAAAGGAGAACCTTTTCGCCCCCTTCTTTTAAAGATACCTTAAGAAAAAACTAGAAATGGTTATAAAAGAGCAGCGCGGAAGGAACCATTTCGCACATGTGTGTACGGAAAAACCTATGCAGGAGCGTTTTTCCATGAGTTCGCATACCTCCTCGTGGGAACTACTTCTCCATCATCTTCGAAATAAAGGTTTCTATTATCTTCTCGATCTGCGCGGGTCCCTCGGTCCTTATGACCTCGTTCATGGCCGCCCCCTCCGGATGGGCACTGTCAAAGACGAACTGAAAAGTGTACTTGCTTTCGTCGTCAGAGGAGAAGTCCGAAATGACATCATTCACAGTGACATGCCCCGTGATCTCCATTTCGACTTGGCCATTTCTGTTCTTTTTAAAGGCTTTCCATTCGCAATTAATTTTTAAGTCGTAAATTATAATTTTTTTTTTTTTGCGCAAGCTAGAAGAAGCTTCACCCTCGACTTCGGAACTAAAGAGTTGCAGAAAAATGTTATTGCTCAGTTGTACTGTGGAGCTGTCCAGCATATTTTTTAATTCCTCCTTGGCCCACTTGGTTAGGCATTTCTCCTCCCAATGGTAGTTGTTGATATTCCAAATGGACCCTTCTTTTTTTTCCTCCTCTTTGCTTTCCTTTACGTGGTTTGCACTGTTCGCAATGTTTGCATTGTTCGCATTGTTCGTACTGTTCGCAGCTGCGCCTTGCGGTTGGTTCTGGTGCACGTTTTGCACCTTTGCACTTTGCAGTTTCGCCTCTTCCTCCGCCAGGATCTTCTGCTCCTTGTTTGCTGCGCGGTGGAAAAAAAAAAAGAAAAAAAGCCAAGCATCGCATATATATGTGTCTATCCATGTGTAGCCAGGATGGCCATGCACCCGCCACCTGTTCACAGCGTGCGGGCACTTCCATCACTTCTTCCTCCGAGCACACAAAATTACATTCGTTCGAGTCGTGCTTCAGTAGATCGGCTGGGAAATCCTTCAAGGAATCTTTTATTTTCTCCTTTCCGTCCCTCCTAAGAATGTCGTAGGCCTGTTTGGACTTCTCCTGGTCTCCAATCAGCTCAACGTTGATGGCGTAGTCGTTGTCCTGATGAGGGAGAAAAGGAAAGGCAAAAAGGGGGGAAATAAATCGGGAAAAAAAAAACCTAAATCTCCATTGCATCTTTTTGCTTCCTCATTATGTTGCTTCCTTTTTAAGTGATGCAAATCGCGGGGGAGAGGGGGGAAGAGGCAATCCACCAGGGAGAAGCAGTTCACCCTGTCTACGCCACTATTTTTCCGTCCTGGGATTTCCCCCCTGCAAATCCTCCACCTGCTTCTGCCCCTCATGTGGGTACCTCAACGGAACAATTTGAGAAGTCCAAAATTTCGGCTGTCCCTCCAGGGTATTCCTTGTCTTCCCCCGTTTTGGAGAAGACCCAATCAAATTTGATTACGTATTCGAAGGAGTTTATTTGCTTTCCCTTCCGGATGGACACGGAGGCCTACATGGTGCGGCGGTGAGGTGGTGAAGAGGTGAAGTGATGAGGTGGTGAAGAGGTGAAGTGATGAGGTGGTGGTGGCAAAAGAAGGGATCCACAGACCAGCAACAACAACGCAGGGATCTCATAACACGGAGGAGAAGACTCCCACTAGGGGGAGGAAACCATATCTGTATTGTTCGAACGGGGATCCTATCCCCCCTCTCGAGTTGTTACATTTCCTGAAATGTCCACCCTGTCGAAATAGACGGAAAGACCTTCCTTTTCGATTTTCAAATCAGACAGTTTATTTTTTATGTAGGACTCTCCCCATTTGTTGTAATTCTTTTCTTCCCTGCACGAGGGGGGGGGTGGAAAGGTGGAGGGGAGGATGAAAGGGGGCACTCAGGGGAGCAGGGCTGCCTCAATCGCGTTGCAAATGGAATGGAAGTTTTCGGTTCTTAGTGAGACATCATCAGCATGTACATATATATGTGTACGTGTGCGTACGTCTGGATGGACGCACATACGTATGTACGAACGTATATATTTTTCTTTCTTTCCCCCTTTACAGCCCTTTACATTACCAGTGCCAGCTGTTTCTGTTCCAAACAGATCCCGCCATTTTTCTCGCCACGGGTTCTATACACCTGCTATGGGTTGGTGTGCCGTTCAGTCGCCTCCCTACAAAAAGGGTGGTTTTGCTTGGCCCCTCTGGCAGAGACCGCGAGGTCAAATTAGGTTTCCCCACAGGTGTTCAGAAGTGATGGAAACGTTCCGAAGAGTGCTTCAAAAAATGTAGCGAAAAATGTAGCGAAAAATGTGGCGAAAAATGTAGCGAAAAATATGGTGAAAAATGATATGAACGGTGCAGGTAAATCACGCCAAGGAACAAATGTACAACGTCCGTGCGGAGAAAAGTTCATCCCACTTCTGCCTCTTCCAAGGTACAGTTAAGTGGGAAATAAAAACAAGAGGAGAAAGAACCAAATAGGTAGAACGACCGGTGTTGCTCCTTTTTTCTCCTTTGAGATTACGAGACGGTGGATCTGAAATGTGAAAACGGGGATCGCCAGAAAAAAAAACAAAAAAAAAAAAAAAAGAGCATAACCGCAGAACATGGCAAAGAAGTAATATGACCCCGCCGAAAAAAATAGGGGAGTTAAAAATTGCCAACAGTGGAGAAACCTATGGATGAGAGTACTTATATAGGGGACGAAAAAAAAGAGATAACCCTAGTGAGATGAGCAGCGAAACCGAAACTAGAAATGGGTGGAGCTTAAGCGGATGAATCAAAGAAAGTTAAGTTTGCGAGGGGTCACCATTGAGGTTCACACCCTTGTGAGGATGATGCAGAGAGGATTCCACTCTTCCACTTGGTGTAACCAATGAAAATGACGCCACTGGTCAGCGCAAGCTGGATTATCCTTCCTCTTAAAAGAAAAACAAGGCCGATGACTATGACCAAATGGGTGGGGTGTATCGCCACTCATCTGCACCGTTTTACTTGATGAAAGTAGACGTGGAGGACGATCCTACGTAACATCACGTGTGGTGTGTGGTGGATCTCTGGTCAGTTTTGTCCTCTGCGGGAGGGGAACCGACCCCAGTTTTAGAACCTCCATTTTAAGAGCCTCCATTTTAAGAGCCTCCATTTTAAGAGCCTCCATTTTAAAAGCCTCCCATTTAAAGGCCCCCCTCTGTGGGGCATCATCCCCAAAGCAGCGGCAAAGTTGACCGTGTAAAATGCCCCATGTGGTTAGCCTCCTCTACCTATGAACGCATCAATGAGAGCGGGGACTTCCCCTGTAGCGGACACCATGAGGACCGTCCTCAAAAAATGTGCGATGAGTTAGAAGAAGGCATTAAAGATTGCTCTCCATTTTTACAACTTGAGGAGGGAACCCATCTAAGCTCGAAATGGAGACCTCACTCCACTCTGTAACCCTTTTGTGTATTCGTAACGGACATCAATTGGTGGATTTTTTTTTTTATCGCGAAATGTTTCATTCGTGCGTGGGCTTTTTGCAACATAGGTGTTCACTTTGGGGACAAGGACTGCTTAACAGCGTTGGATGAGTTACACCCATTTGGTGTTAAAGCACATTTTCCTACGCATGTGTATCCTTTTCCCAGTGGCGGAGAATCACTCACCGTTAAGGAGGTCGATTTGATATACTGTGGAAGGTAAGGCCCCCCGATATATTCCGTTCAGACAAAACCTGCACCTGTGCAGATCGCACACGTGGCATCATACTTTTTGTCTTGCTGAGCGGGAACACCCTTCATTTTGTTACTTTGCTTGATTGGTTGTTTTTTTTTTTTCCTTTTCACTTCTTCCTTCAAATGAACAAGAGACGTTCTTTTCTTCCCCCATTCAGGGACGCATCAACAGTTTTGTCGTGGCCTTTTGTCGGAGGTGGAGGAGGGTGACTCATCCGGTTGTTTCATAGATTTTCGTTCTGTTTTGTATTTTCCGGTTGCCTTTTCCCGTTGCGACTGCATCATCAAGGGGAATCACCTTTTACCCAGCTCGGACGACTTCTCTGAGCCCCCCCGCACCCTTCTCCGAGCTTAAGCGCCATATGCATACTGGAGAGGAAACTTTTTCAGGAACTGTTCTACTTATATATGCAAAATGGGAGCCTTTTTTTTTTTCTTCTTTTTTTTTTACTCCCTTTTTAACTGACATAACGGCATGCAGCATAATCCAATAGGTGTTTTTTTTTTTTTTTTCTTTTTTGCGGCATATATTTCTGCTAATTCTTTTTGGCCACCTCCACTCCACCGAACGTTCGCGCAGGTCGAAAGGAAAATATATAACCTCCTGTTAAAACAAAATATCCTTTTTTTCTTTTTCCTTCTTAATTTTCCCTTCCCATGAAAAGAAAAAAAAAAAGGAAGCATAATTTTTGTACTTACGAATCAGAAGAAAGAAAAAAAATAAATAAAATAAGCGGCGGGGGGGACAGATAACAATAAAACAATGCCGCCTCCTCCATTTGGCAACATAGGGCGAAAAAAACAGCTCATGTTTCAATGTTGATTAATGAACGCGTCTGTTTTGTATTATCCACTCTTCAGTGTCATTTTCCCTGTCAGATGGACCCCACACGTGGCTGGCTAGGCTCCCATATGTGATTCGCTTTGCAGCATGCAGCAGTTTTTTTTTTTTTCTTCTTTTTCCTTGCCCATCCCGCAGACAACTGTTTTGGCAATCGGTCGTTGCAACGTCCCTTCCGCGGGTACATATATCACTTCATGCGTCTGCCTATGTGTCCCAATCAACACTCTGCCTTCTCATCATGTTGGCGTCTGAAATTGCTGGCTGAGGAGAGGCCGTCATAGTGTATATATCTGCTGGACGACGCTCTGCCGGTTCTACCAATGCAGCTTGAGCGAGTTCGCCGGATGATCCGCGGCCTAGCCAAAAAGGAAAAAAAAAAAAAAAAAAAACACATAAAAGCACATAAAAGAGGACCTATCCAAATTGAAGAGGAAGAACTAAGTTAGATCGAGAGATACCCCCTCAGAAGCGCCAGGTGAGAGGCACAGCTCTCCCAAGTTGGAAACCCCCTCCGAAGGCTCTTCCAAAGAGAAGACAAACCGAGCGAAGCACGTCGGGGGCTTACGTCACAAAACATCGCCCCAAGTGTAACCTTTTCCCAACGGACAGAATGAACTTCCTAACCATTTTTCAGAGCAAAAATAAAGGCAACAGTGAATTGGTGAGTCCACCAAACGGTGAAGTGCCAAATGAAAATGACACGTCCTCCCCTCCGGTGACAAATGAGATCGGGCTGAATTACAGCCACGGTGTTAACACGGAGCAGAGAAGCACCAACATATCACCTCCAGTACAGAATTGGGAACAGGTCAATATGGGTGGTATTCATGTGGACGGTTCGGTTAGACAGGCTAACTTTGAAAACGCCGCAAATGGTTTGATAGCCCACCCGGGAGATCCGGGGGAAACGCGACCGAGCGCTTCGAGTATTCACCCGGTGGGGGTCCACTCGGTGGGGGTCCACTCGGTAGGCGTCCCCCCACCCCAGTTCGGCGGCCCAAGCATCTACGAAGAGAAGGAAAACTACGACTACCCGAATGGGAGCCTCGGCACAGGCCTGCCCTACCCCGATGGAGAGCTGTACGCCCACTTGAAGAAGAGGAGCTCGGACGCCTCCTACCCGTACGGCACCTATGACATGAGTTCCAATGACACGTATGGTGGTGGCACCCATGGGAGGAGGGCACGCGACAAGATTAACGGTAATAATAGTGGCCCAAACAACAGGGGATCCCACCCCAGTCAGTACATAACTAACCACGGAGTGGTTCCCAATGTAAACTACGTCCACCCTGCAGAGAAAAATATCGGCAATGTTGCGAAGCAGACATATTATGTTAATTCCGCGCCGAGTGGGGGGGAAGCTTTCCAGTCCCCCACCGATCTACCTATGAACAATGCAAAGGGAAATGTCTCATTATTTGAGAGCAAAACGGGTAGGACTTACGTCGACCCGAAGAGTAACTACGCGGAGCAAGTGGAGCGTCGCAATTCTTACAACAACAATCACATCGTTGGGGCCCCATACACAGGTAGTACCTCAGTGGGGACTCTACCATATGGGTATGACCAGCATGTGACTAGCAACAATGCAACAAATGGGATGGTGAGTCCTCCCGGAGGAATGGATAAACATGCCGATTACGCGTTTCCCTCTGGAGCCTTCCCCACAGGCGAAGTCACAGAACATAATTTATCAAACAACTTAGTGCACTCTTTCCAGCACCAATTAAATGACATACCTTTTACTCAGCAGAGACAGGTGACTTCCAGGAAAAAGGGAGACTTCACTACTAATCAGTCTTACTTAAATTTGTACGGTGCCGTAGGTGGCGCAAATAAAATGGCGGCAACCAATCCAGTCAGTAATTACAGCTATGAGGAGGACCTGCTGAGTAAGCACCCCAATCGAGTGGAAAGCGGCGTACAAGTAGGCACCACACAGATGGGCAGCGCGAGGAAGTTAGTTCAGGGCGGCCACGTGGTGAGTAGCGCGCAGGTCATCAGTCAACAGGTCAGCAGTCAACAGGTCAGCAGTCAACAGGTCAGTGGCCAACAGGTCAGCGGCCAACAGATGAGACGCCCCCAAATGAGCCCCCCCCAAATGGACGAACATCCAAATGGCGCTGAATTTTACGGGAAAGGCTTTCCACCAAATGGGGCGCCAAATGGGCAGCTCCGAATGGGAAAAGCGGAGCAGAAGCGGAAGCAGCAGGTAGAGGTACCCAGACGAAGTGTCCGAGAGGAGAAACGACACAACAAGGGCATCGACTCCGTGGGAAAGATGGTACGATGGAAAGAAAACGAAGAGGAGGATCAACCAAATGGGAAGAAGGTCGATGCAACAGTCGAGGTAGAAGACGACAAGGGGAACGAGTACTACTACCAGAAGACAATGGAGTTCATGAGAAAAGAATTCACCTTCAACCTCACTGACGACAGGGATAGCTACCCAAGCAATATAGACATCCTGTCAAAAACGCCCTTTTGTAAGCTCATCAATTTTGAAAAAAAACTAGCTGCTGAGCGGAAGCGAGTTTTGAATTATTATCACGAAGACAGGAAGCAGATTTATTCCAGCTCGACAAATAAAGACAAGCAATTTTCTCACATTTTTCTTAACAATGAAAAGTATTATGATGCCAAGGAGATCCTGGCGTATCTTCTTCCTTACCATACGTTTTACTTGGAAGATATTTATATCGATTCTTCCGACGATGACAAAGAGTTTTGTGAGAACCTCCAGAATGACGTCAGGGAGATCGATGCGGGTATCTCCGAGGTAAAGGACTCCTTTCGTGCCTACACGAACCCCTCCATGGTGAGTACGCAGCGTCGTAAGGTGGCGAAACGGCCCAGTCGAACATTTGAGGCATACATAAAGGAGCATATTTTTATGCCTATTTATTTGTTCCTCTTTGTAAGTATACTTGGCGTCATTTATCGCGCACCCCTTCCATGTCTTCCCCTTTTTACAGCTCTGGAGTTTCAACAAAATAATCGACAGAACGGATGATCAGCACAACAAAAGGAAAAAAGTGTCCGACTGATGAGGTGGCGAGTGGGTACACAAATAATACCACCACACACCACACTGTTTTGAATCAAAGTTTTTTTTTTGGAAAACCTTTTTATACATGGCGTTGTTCTTTTTTTCTGAATATATTTGTTCTTTTTTTTCCTTGAATATCTTTATTTTATTCTATTTTTTTGAGTGATTTTGAAGGAGAAGAGGGTTGCAAAGAATGCGTTCCAATTTCTCCTTCATTTTGTGAAGCTTTACCTTTTTTGCGTCTTTTCCCTTTACCATTCTCCGCACGCGCGGGTCCAAGTGGCATCATCTGCAGGTCCATACTTTCTGCGCCTGCTATACTGCTGCTACAGCTGCTACTGCTGCTGTTGCTTTCTCCCTTTTTTTGTTGCATGCCTGGTATGTGCCAAGCATGACGTGTACTTAAATTCGTGAGATGACACATAAAGTGAAGTTCCATGCGCATACACACATTCGTTGATTTTGCGAAACGAGAACGGGTTTCACATTTTGAAAAAAGAGGCCCCCCAAACAGACACACATACATACTAATGCAGTGCACGATATCTGCAAAAATGTAAAAAGGAGGAAAAAATGATTTATCGATCATTTTTTTCCGTTTCTTTGCCTCCCCTCCGAATTGTATAATGAAGCACAACAGGGATGTAAAATAAACTCAGGGGCACATGACTGCTGCTGATTTGGGAAAACCAAAGGGAGGCAGAATTGTTGGCAGATCACTGTGCGGAAGAACATCCTCTCCTTGTGCCAACTCGCCCGTTCTCGCGTTTTTGCCCCGTTGGGTAAAATGACGACTATTCCTCTTTAAGTTTAAGTGGAGCTTCGGCGAGAAGCAGCACTGGGTTGAAGCAGCTGCTCGCGATTGGCGTGATGACGTACGTACATGTATGTGCATTTATTTTTTTTTTTTTCCTTCTTATTTTTCCGTCGCGAGTTGCACTTTGCCTCCTCGAAGGAAAGAACATACGCGATTGTTCATTTGTTTTAATATATTATTTTTTTTACTTATTCTCAACCGGTAAGTATCATACGTATGTCATTTTGTGAACCTTTTCGTTCGTTGAATACGAGTGGGTATGCATGTTAGTCGCAGAAGGAAGCCTTTTCGTGCTCGCAGAAACATACATTCTGAGGTACATGTGAATTAGCATCGAATGGAAGGCGTGGTTTGCCATCTGCAGAGAACACGCTTGGAGCCTGAGGGGCATGCGCAAGCTTCTGTACAAACGTGGTGACTTGCAGACTTGCCGACTTCCTGATTGGCCGACTTCCTGATTGGCTGACTTGCTGACTTGCTCACCCACGTACGTACTGACGACCCCCCCGGCGACAAACATGGTGATGAAAACCCTGCTGCAGAGCCGTAAGCTGTTGGACGGAAGGAACAGCCTGATAATCACAGGCAAGAACTACATATGCTTTCAAAGGAGCCCGATTCGAGACCATGTAGTGAAGAAGGAGACCCCGAAATTTGAGCAGAAGCCTCTGGGGTCGTACCCAATCCCCCCCGAAGCTGAGATGATGTGGAGAAATAGACATACGGCCTATGGTGGATACATTCAACAGACCATCTCTCCCTTCCAACAGAAAATTATGTACCCATTTTGGCACATGGCCTTGGCGAGATGGTGGGCCAAATTTTCATCCTACGTCTGGTGGTGGATATGGCCCTTCGCAATAACCAATCTGATTTTGTTGAAAATGTTTCGCGATGCGAAGAAATATGTCCAGCAGAAGCATTGGTACTGATATGTATAGGCCCCCTTTGTACGGAGTGCCCTGTTGAGCAGCGTCCCCCAAGGAGTTCTACACGCATGGGTCTGCACAACGGAAGGACACATGAAAAAAAGGGGGGGGAGAGTAAAAACCGGGATGAGAACCCCATTTGCACGTAAGCTTCTTAACGAGCAGCTAGTGTTTCTCGCTGGAAATGAACTTCGCAAGAGCCAAGTAGCTATTTTTTTTTTTGGCACAAATTTACCTGTACGTGCATGTAATATTTGAATATTTTTCTCCTTTTACCTGACCTGTGCAGTTTTTTTTTTTTTTCAAAAATTCGCACAAATGGATAGAGCAACATAGTTCTTTTTTGCTTCACCCCTTTTTGTTTCTTTGCCGATTTGTTGAACATTTTGGAAGAACCTACTCTTCTGCACACATTGGAGGGGTATACTTTTCGACATACGTTTTAGTTGCGCATTTTTTGAGACCTACACGAGCGTTTTATCGTATCTCGACTGTTTTTTTTGTGCAATCCTTCAGTATCTCCTTCTACGCGCGTGCTGCAAGTACCCATTTGTGGAGTGGTCATTATGCATATGGAGTGAGTACACCTGAGCGCCCCTAACAACGCAGAGCAGTTGAAGCTCCCGTGCAAGTGTGTCATTTGTACGTGTGTGTTGTGTATGGTTCACATGAGGGGGAAAAAACATTAACTTAGAGAAAAAAAGAAAAAGGAAAAAAAGGAACAAACCTGCTAAGGGGTACGTCAAGAAAGTACGCCAAGAGGAACACCAAGTGGTACTCTAAGGGGTAATATAAGAGGTACACTAAGAAGCACCCTAAGCGGAGTTCCCAAAAAGGCACGTCAACTGTGGGGCCTTCACAAAGTGCATAGCTCTTTGCGGCCAAGCGGGATACGCTGTTTGTTCTTCTGGGTGGAGATCCCTTTTTACGCACAGCACATCGAGAGCTGCAAATGCGTAATGAGTGCATTTGCCAAACCTATTGAGATGGAGCACTTCTTCCCCGCAACATGTTCATGAACACATTGCACCATGCCAAGTTCTGGAGAAGTGCCTTCTCGAAGACGAAAGGGATTTTTCAAAATGAGGCATACAGCGCATTTAAGGGAAGGGAAATAAAGAGGCCCGCCACAAGTGTGTATGACCACGTTCAGGCGAAACAGGAAAAAAGCAAAAAAGGAGCATTACCAAACTTAGGCATCGAGGAATATGCACAGGAACGAAAATCTCAGCAGGTGGAAGTACCACCCGTTAGGAGAAAACACGAGGAGGAGTTTAACCAAAGGATTAACTCCTTCTATGTCGATAAAAATGTTTTTTTTCTTGTCGGATGTTTATCCACCTTGTACAGTATATTTGTGTATGACTTCTTCACAAACCGATGTGTGCAAATATTTTCCAATTTTTTTTTTTTTATGTTTCATTTTACTAGGAAGACGGTGAATATAATGGCCTGTATATTGCACACTCTGTTTATTTTCCTCCAAGTGTGCGTTTTGGTCATTAAATCTAGCCCCAAGTTGAACATGCCGGTCGCTGAATGAACCGCCCGATGGGGATTCACATTTTGCAACGTTCGCGCGATTTTTTCATTTGGGGAAGAGGTTCAAAAAAGAGGTTAGCAAAAAAGGTTAGCATAAAGAGGTTGAAAAGTGCCGAGGAATGGCCCGCGAAAGGGTAACAAAATGGTCGGAAAAGAAGGTAACAAAATGGTCTCCAGAAGGGTAACAAAAGTGCCACGTGACTTGCCCCTCAACCCCGGTGGGCACCCTCCCCGTCAGCACCCGCTTCTTCACCGCCCAACCCCTCCGAGCGAAGCACGTCCAGCGGAGCCTCCTCGACATTGTACTTGTGCGCGTTTTCCAGCAAATACTGCGCGATGTGCAGACAGGGGTTCTTCGGCTTGGTGCGACAAATGTGTATCAACGCGTCTGTTAAAATGGGCAGGATATTCTTAATCAAGTAGAACCTCAGGGGGATGGACTGATTATGAAAATACTGCTGCTGATGTTCCAGCAGAAGTTCCTGTCTCTTTTTCTCTGCCTTTATTAACTCATCATTTTTGCTGATCTCTTCCCCAATGAGTTGATTTTCCTTCCTCATCAGTTTTTCTTTCTCGAGGGAAAGTTCCTTCTCCTCTTTCTGCAGTTTTCGTTTGAGTATTTCCTCAGAAGATGGAAGGAAGTTATCAAACTTGACATTCTTCTCAATGTAGATGTATATATTTGTGAGGACGTCGTCCAATGAGGAGTCTTCGTTTATGTGGACATTGAATACGTCGACCTCTCTTTCGAGGAAGTAGTCCTCTATTGACTTTTTCTGATCAAATTCGAAGTAATCATTTCTGCAGTTCTCTTTGACATACTTTTTGTGTCTTCTTTCGAACCCACTTTCGTCGTTGTGTCCTTTTATGATCTCTTCCTCTGGGAGATTCATCATTCGGCTTCTACAGAGCTGTTCAGGCGATTTCAAAACGATGACAAACTCGGGGAAGAGGGAGTTTCCATCTGCCTCGTCGGGGGGGTGGTTCTTGGACGAGGTGTTTTCTCCTTGGGGGGTTGGCTCCTGGTCTGGGTCGTTGCCGGGTTTCTCTGGCAGGTCAACTTGGTCCGCATCGTCTATCTGGTCCCCTTCGTCCATTTCGTCCCCTTCTTCCTCTTCCTCCTCTTCCTGCTTCTCGTCCACCTGATGTGCTTTCTCCCCATGGGTACTTCCACCCGGTTGGCCGTCCCCCTCCTGCTTCTGCTGTTGCTGCTCCTTCGTGCTTCCCTCCCCTGTGTCAGCCCCTCCGTGGCTCCCAAAGAAGTATTCCGCTTCGTCATAATTTCGCGGGAAGAAGTCCAAAACAAAGCCCCTAAATTTGCACTCATTGGTTAGTAGCTTCTGATAGAACAGGGACGTCAGGTCTGGGAGAGTCAGTTTGGAGGTTCCCATTGGGCTTCGCTTCGCGTTTGCCGTTGCGCTCCCCTTTGCGTTTTTCTTTTCTTTCTCTTCATGTGCGTGCTGTACCCCACTTAAGTACTCCCTGTAGTACTCCGGAAAATCGTACCCCCTCTGTTTGCCCTCCTCGATGAGCGGGGAAATTGAACAAAGGTTCAAATTGTAGTGATCGCATATCTTTTTGGCAATGAATGTTTTTCCTACTCCTGGCTGGCCCAGTATGAGAACCCTTAGCTGCTTTAGATTTCTGTATTGGCAGAACTCCCTGGCTATGGTGCAGATATTTCTGGTGAAGCCATCGCAGCAGTGGAATGTGAATCCCTGTCGGGTTAGGCGCTCCTCCTGGTTTCTTCCCTTCCTCTTTGCGAGCTGTCTCTGGTCAGCCACTTCGTCCACGTCTGAGTTGCTCTGATCTTCTGCCTCGTCCGACCTGTCAACATCTTCCTTTTCGTCATCTTCATCATCTTGCTCATCCTGGTCACTTTTGTCTTCTTCCCCTTCTTTCCCTTCTTCTTCATCTGTCCCGTCTTCTTCCTCTCCCTCGTCTTCTTCATCTGCCCTCTTTTCTTCCTGTGCCCCTTTCTTTTGATCTCGCCCCCGCCGGCCGTCCTCACCGCTTTCCCCTCCCAACTGCGAGCAGGCGAACCTCAAATTGACGCACATCACCTCCGCGTCGTCAAAGAGTAAGGAATCATGAGGAGACACACTAAGGTAGGTAGAATTTCCAGAAATGAAATTGCTGACCGTTTTAATCAGTGTCTTCTGAGTCAGATGTTCCTTGTCCACTGCTATGAGGTACTTCCGCGATGGCTGCCTCAAGTAGAGCTCCTTAACAAACTGACACAGACCTCTCACATGGATGAGAGGAATGAAGTTATTTCCTCTGTCGATTATCTGATTGTCCCGACTTAGCCAGGCATTTTTGAAGATAGGGAAGAAGACATTTTCTCCATTCCCGTACAGGATTCCCGATGCCACTACATAGGTGTTTAGTTTGTTCTTTGAGTTGAGCGATAAGATTAGCGTCTCGATGGTTTTGTGTTGTTCATATTGTCCAGAGGGGATTCTCTTCATGTAGTCCTTTTCGGTGAACACTTCCGGTACGTTAATCTGTTTAGTGGTGCCATTGGAGGGGGGTTGTTCCGTTGGGTCGTCTTGCCCTGTCTGCCCCTTCTGTTGCTTCGCTTCTCCTCCCGCCGCTCCCGTGTAGGCACTCCCCGGCTGGAGCGAGAATTTCCTCTTCGTCTTGTTCCAAGTCATGACGGAGGAGATAAGCACCAAGGTGGTGTCCTTCTTCATCTTCTCATACTTCACCTTCCGTATGATGTATTCTAATTCTTCCACATTCGTATTGTGCAAATCGAAGATGATTAAATCGCATCGTAATAACTGCTTCACTATGTTGTCTTTGGGTATCTTCGAAACCACCTTTGTTACCTTTCCGTAGTCATACGTGAGGCCATTTTTTCCTTTGCTTGGCTGGACCACCGTTCCGTAAATCTCCGTCTTTTCGTTCTTCACCTCACTAAACGTCTCGCACAGGCAGCTCCCTGTGTAGGTGTTTACGTTGTGGATGAACACTTTCATTGTTTCGAATGGCACGGGGGAGAAGCGGAGTGGAAGGAAAGCGGTGGAAGAGGCGTAGTGAACGAAGCGCAGTGGAGGAAGGGCAGTAGAAGAGGCCTAGTGAACGAAGCGCAATGGAGGAGGGGCAGTAGAAGAGGCCTAGTGAACGAAGCGCAGTGGAGGAAGGGCAGTAGAACAGGCGTAGTGAACGAAGCGAAGTAGACGAAGCGTAGTAGACTCCCTGACATGAGCGACTCGCCCAGTGGTTAACCCTTCTTCACTTCCACGTAGAAACTGCTACAGTCAGCTCAGTGAAGAAGTCCCACTGGAACGTTCCCCGCGGAGTATTCCATGAATCCACCGCAAAGCGTGTGGAGAGAAACCCTTTTTGCCTCGCAAGATGGTCAATCACATGTAAAATTTGTCGAGACAACGAACATGCCCGGGGACACACCTCGAGAACACCCTCCCACGCGAGGTCAAACATGCACATGTGACTGCTTAACCCTTTTTTCGCATTGCGATTGGGCTAGAAGCCCCTTCGAAAAAGAAGCGAAAAGTGAAATTCCCTTTTTGGAGAGCGTGACGGAGAATTTTGGGAGAAAAAAAAAAAAAAAAAGAAAATGCACACACGCGGGACGCGGAGAAAGGGGTGCGGTCCCTTAAATCATCGCTTCGCACCGTTCCGCATAGGACCAGTCGCTTTCCATGCAAGTACATATATCTGCACGTGCGTATGCGTCTGTAGGATGGTGTCATGTAGAGTTCGCCTATTTACCCATTTGGTGCTCAACTCTGAGGGGTGGAAAGCGGCCATGAGTGATTCTGCTGAATCGTGGCGCACCGTCCCAAGCAGCTGGACACATACTTATTGATGGCTTCGACCAAGTGGGTAACCACAATATATGTATGCACCCGTTCGTCGCTGTAATGCAGGTTGTAGAAGTAAGAGAAGCGATGGCCCCCAAAAGGACGGGGTAAACAGAGGAAGAAGTCACGATGGGATTAGCTTTTTTTTTTTTTTTTTCCTTTTACTAAAGAATTGAAGTAGGTAAAGCGGGGTCACTGATAGAGGTGTGGGTTGAGGCAGCAGCATGTTGGACAATCCCGTTCCATCTTTTCAAACCTCCTAAGAACTGTACACACCCTTGTGCCATTTTCCACACGTCTCTGCAGATGGCCGTGTGGAATAATTCTGATAGGGCGAATAAAACAACTTGGAATTTCTTTCCAAAAAAAAAAAAAAAAAAATATGAACAGCCACCTGGACTGTGGTTACAAACTGATCAGTTAAGTGAAGGAAGATTGGAATGACCCTCTACAGAAGGATGTGATCATCGCGGCTAAATTTCCAACGCTTCGTCAATTAGTTTTACCATTTGTATACTGTGGCAAGTTCTTTTGGCGCTGTTCTTTTGGCTCTATGTTCTTTTGGCACCCTCTTCCTTCTGTTATTCCTTACTGCAATTTTTCTCTTTTTTGCGCACTCGGTCCTGTCCACTGCCTCTGCTCCATTCGCTCCTGGCACATGTTTACCAATCCGTGTCCGCCAACTGAAGGGATAACTTACTCGATAGAGGCACAAACGGGGCGACCAAAAGGAAGAACACATAAGTGGTAGTGGGGGGGGGATATCTCCCCTTCAAGAGGAGTTAACCACGGGGAGCTGGACAGTTTGGCTGAACGTCGATTTGGCAGGGAAGAAGGCGACAAAAAGGAGAGAATGACGCGGTCCAGGAAAGCGGCTAAATTGGTGAAGAAGCTGTTCCGGGGAGGGGGCCTCCTATTTGGTCCGTTCTTTCTTCGTTCGTTGGCCGATTTGTTGGCTCATTTGTTTACCCCCTCTTTGCTCCTTTTGTTCTCCATTCTTTTTGGCTCCTTTTATTACTATTTTCTTTTTTTTCCTTTTGGGAACCTCTTGGTGGTCACTTTGTCGCCGTTTGAATCCACGCACTCTACACCTTCTGAACGTCCTACACTTTTTTTTTTACTTTTCCCCCGCGGTGCGCACCGCTAGGGGGTACGCATGACTGCACAGGGTAACATTAATGGGTCGAGGATATACTCCCCCAGATTGACACCACATACATATAGTGTGGTGGTAACCTTACACAGTGCAAAGTTGCGCCAGAGAGAGAGAAAAAAAAACTTACCTGCTTCTCTGTTTACCCACACGGGGAAGGTTTTACAAGGCGATATTAAGGAAAGCCCCCCTGCGTCGGCGTGAACCGACTGGATTGCATCTCTGAGAGAAGGAAGATAAGTGCGCTTTGGGAGTGGTTTGCCTTAACCTCCTTTACGAGAAAAAAAAAAAAAAACACGTTAAAGGGAGCACGTGCAGGTTAGTGATAATATAATCGCATGTACATAGGGACGTGTACGCCGATACGCTACTACGCTTGTAGGGACATTCCTATGTTGGGTTCTTCATTGGGACATTGGCCACACGCATGAGCCCAAAGTGAATCAGCTTCCCCTCTCCATCAGCATGCAACCAGTGAAATAGTAAACACGCAGGCGTTAAAAGTTAGGCAATGAAGCCATCTCCATACATACATCTGTTCCTCATCCCGTTTGAAGAGACTTCCGCCATTTTTGCTCAATACCAAGTCATAAGGAAATTCACCTTGACGTAAAACCAGAGCGAAGAGGAAATTAGCGAAAAGCTATTCAGATAAACTAGTAACTTATCCAGAGAACTACGTGAAGAAAGGATATCCTATCTCTCAGAATGAGCGATGTAAGAAGATTATACGTTGTGATGTCATCATGGAGAGTGAAGCTTCTCCACCCCAAGAGAGGAGTCATTTGTGGCCATTCCGCACACAAGCACTAATTAGTACTTCTCCCGTTGTGTACATCATCCTGGTCCCTCGGGAGAGTTGCTACACTGTGTGGTGCGTGAGAGGAGGAGAAAACATTTGGCATTCTGTTCCGTTTCTTCGTTAAACTGTGGAATGGGAAAGCTCAATGGGGTACACAGGGGGGATACCCAGAAAGGATGCAAAGGGCATTTCATAGCACACATTTTTTTTCTCTCTTTTTTTTTTTTTTTTTTTCCTCCCCCGTCAGGTAATTGTACCACGGAGCTTTCGCTTGTTGGACGAGCTGGAGCGTGGACAGAAGGGAAACGTTAGCGAAGGAGTGTCTTTCGGATTGGAGAATGCCGATGACATTACTCTTTCGAATTGGTCTTGCACTATATTTGGGCAACCGGGGACTGTTTTCGAGAACAGGATTTATTCGCTGACCATATTTTGTGGCGACAGCTATCCCGATGCGCCCCCCACGGTGAAGTTCGACACGAAGATTGAGATGTCCTGTGTGGACGGCGGCGGCCGGGTGAGTCACTTGCTGTGATGAGCGTTCCGCTAAAATGTAGGACAATGAGCCCAGTTGACGTAATCATGCGAACGGTTTTTATTTTTACTTTATTTATTTTTTTTCTTTTCCTTTCCCTGATGCACAGGTCGTTAACAACAATTTGCAGATTTTAAAAAACTGGAATAGGAATTACACCATCGAGACGATTCTAATCGCGCTCAGACAGGAGATGCTGTCCAGTGCCAACAAGAGGTTGCCGCAGCCCAACGAGGGAGAAATGTACTGACTGGAGTGAAGTCCACTCTGTTTGTCACCACGGAGGGGACGAAGAAGCAGAAGAAGAGGAAGAAGGAGAAGAAGAAAGGGCGCCGGATTGCAGAGTAAAAATGGAGAAAACCCAAGACATCAACAAAAGCAGCCCTTTTCGCAAATCCCATCGGATTATTTTAACGCCAATAGGGATCCACCAATTTGTTGCGATGAAATGTGTGAATGTTTTTTTTTTCTTTCTTTCCAACTGTAGAGCGTTCTTTTTCTTCACCCAATTGTGCGTCCCTTTTTTCCATTTCATACGTGTGTACTTCTATTGGCATATGGCCTTCACCGCTCCGTTTCGAATGCCCGCCGCGCACCTCCCACATGGGCACGTCCCTTATTTTTCACTTAACAGCTAACTAGTGCAAAAAAAAAGGAGAAATAATTTTTTCAAAATGAACTTTTTAAGTAGGTAAAAATGTATTCCTCATTTTGTGATTATCCATGTGGAGAATTTACTTCATCGACGACTGACTGCACGTGGGTCTGTTTCCTTTTGTCCCTTTAGAAGAGGAGTGCAAGGGGAGGCGCAAAAAGAAGTGGCCCTCTATAAGTAACCGCAGACTTTTCGAATTTGTTCCGGAAGAAGGTCGCATATATGGGATAGACATGTGCTTACATGAAAAAAGGAACTGCGACTCTTGTCATCCACGTTTGTATGTCTGTTGTGCACCTCACCTCCCTCGGCGGCTTAGTGGGGAGTCGGTGTGCGGGTCGTGTAAAATACACACAGGGGAGAGCGCCAAAGTTGCCCCCTTTTTTTTTTTTCCTTTATTTTATCTTCTCATCTTTCCTTTTTCACGCACATGTGCTGTCTCAGTTCGACTCGCCTTTTTCACGAAGGGTGACTGAAACGTTTGTAACGGTATCCAGAGGGGCGTCCAAGCATGTTCACGATGGAGTCACATTCGAGTGACGTTCCAGTGACATTCGCGCTAAGGTCATATTGACGCTCATGTTCGTATTTTTTTTTTTTTTTTTTTTTTCCCCGGCGGAATTGCGAAAGGATTGCACTTTTCACGGGTATTCCCAATTCGTTCCCCGCGGGACCACCGAACTGGGGTTTCCACGCTTCGCCCACTTCGTGCTTTGTTTTTTCCCCCTGGAGGATTGCCCGTGATGGGGGTGGTCACGCCATTACGCTGCTGCGCCGCTACGTGGCTAAGGTGCTTGCCGATCATTCGTTCCAAACAACTTTAATCGAAAAGGGCGCCACCACCCCGCGCGAGGACAAGAGAAACCGAGTGGTAAAGGTAGACCCGAGGGAAGAAACGAGGGACAGGCAGTGGACTATCGCGCAGAGGATGAGGATACACGTTGGGACCATCCTCCATCTGACCCGCTCCAGATATTTTTAATAAGCTATACCCGTGTGTGACCCCGTGTAGTCGCATATCCCCACATGTGCGTACAGGTAGCTGCACCTTCACGTGTGCACTTTTCCAGCTTTTCCGGTTGGTCCCGCCGCGTCTCTAAGGGGGTCCCCTGTTGAAAGTCCTGGAAAGGAGGCATCCCCGGTTTGAAGCGGTCGTGTGGGAGAGGCGAAACGGGGGAAGTAGCACTTCGGGGGGGTCAATCAGATGGGAAGGATTTGCACCACTTCTGAGTGCTCCACCACGTCGGAAAGACTGCCGCCCCGAGTTGATGCTACGCGCAAGAGCGAGTCTTATCCCCCGTTGCATTGCAGTGAAGAGTTTCTCAACCCGCCAGGACGTCGTCAAACTGGTTCCCACGCAGTTGCCTTGTCACCATTTGAGGTCGTTCAATGCCTGCACAAGTCAGGTAAAAATGTTGGAAGAGATTCAGTCGAATAAGAGGAAGCAGGTTGAGGGGGGAGACTTGGGAGAGTCATGCGAGCAGGTGAAGAGGACGAAGTTGGTCCCAATTGGGGAAGCAGCGGCAGAAGCGGCAGCGTGGGAAAAGGCAGACCAGGTAAAGATTGAAAAGGATGACCCGATTGGAAAGGAAATGTCCGGTCAGATGAAGGCAGAGACGCATGACCCGATGAGCAATAAAACAGCCGCTCAGGTGAAGGCAGAGAAGCATGACCCGATTAGCAACGAAACAACCAACCAGGTGAAGACAGAGAAGCATGACCCCCCGTCTGCTTCTCCCCCCCTGGTGTGTGCAGCGGAGGGAAAGGAAAAAATCGGCGCGACCACTTTAAAGGCGAGCGAAAGTGCCCAACCGGGGGAAACAAGAGAAGAGGAAGTAAAAACAATCGTTACATGGAATATGAATAGCATAACGGTGAGATACAAAAATAGAGACAAATGGAATTCCTTCATGAATTTCTTCAACCGAATCAATGCCGACGTGTTGTGCTTTCAGGAGGTACGATTACCAGCCCTGAACCTATTTGACGTGAAGAATGCAAAGGATGGAAAAAGGGACAGAGGGAGAGTAAAAAACACAGATCAGAAGAGTCAAGTCGATTTTGAAATAATGGATGCCATTTTGAAAGAAGACTTCCGCAATTACAATGCGTATTTCAGTTTGGCCAATATAAAATATAGTGGCCAGCTCGTCTTGATAAAGAAGAGCATACCGGTGAAGTCCATCCGATACAATCTCTCCTTTGATACCGACCCAAGTGAACATCATCAGGAGGGAAGAGTCATCATTGCTGAGTTTAGCAAATTTTTTCTCTTAAGTACCTATACGCCGAACAACGGGTTTGATACGGTCAAATTTGAAAGAAGGAGACTCTTCGATGAGCAGTTAAAAGAGTTCGTGTCTGTACTGAGGAATAAGAAGAAGCACTTGGTATGGACAGGCGATCTTAACATCGCACCGGAAGACATCGACTTATCTCACCCCGCTGAATTTAGAAGAATAAAAAAGGGCAATGTGCGAAAGGAGTTCATTGGGCATCCTGGCTGCACGGACTTCGAACGGAAGAATTTTAAGGCCATCCTCTCCGCGGGGGATTTGATTGACTCGTACAGGCACTTGGCCAGGCTAAGAGGCAAGGAGGGGGAGCCCGGCAAAGGGGGGCCCAGAAAAGGAGCCGCTAACATAAACGACAACATATACACGTGGCGGTGCCACTTCCTCATGGGGAGGAGCTGCAACAATGCCATGCGCATCGATCACTTCATCGTGTCCAGGGGATTCATGCCGAACGTGCAAAGCGTGGAAATCCACGGGTACAGCGTGTTTCACAGGAACTTCTACGGCTCAGACCACTGCCCGGTGATACTACACCTGCGGGGGGGCGAAGCCACTGAAGAAGTCGGGGAAGAGGCCCCCCAACAAGTGGACTAAGCGTTGTCCTCATAAGTACGTTGCGCTTCCCGCGTGCGAGACAGACTAGTCCAGTTCTGCCACAGCCCCCTACACACCAGGGGGTGAAGAGCCCTCCAAGCAAGTGCATTCTTCGTATCGGTATGCAAATCGGATGATACGTGATCCACACTCTTCATTTGCTCCCTGCGCAATGGTGTGTCACCTGATGGTTATCTCCTCTGGCTGCATGTAGCAAGTAAATTTAAAAAAAAAAAATTTTTTCTTTCCCTTCAACGTGGAAATGACAACTTTTTTTCTTTTTTCCGTTTTGCTTTTTTTTTTTTCCTCCCTTTTAAAGTACAATTTTGAAAAAAAAACACAGATGAAAGGCAAAGCCGCGTGACCAAGTGTTATGCCGATCCGATCAGTTGAAGAGGTTTTTTTTCCAAATGAGCGCTCTGCGCATGGTCGAGATGGGCTGCGCCATTCGCTCCGTTTGAAGCACAGAGAGGAACAGAAAGAGGAATTAGCACATAAAGAGGATATAGCCCATTCGGGATTATGAGCGAGGGTAGGCTGCATAAATGGAGGGGTGAAGTGCAAACGCCCCTAGTCTTTATGGCGAGCCCGCGGTGCGAGGGAAGGGGAAACCGCAATGGGGGGGAGAGGCACTCGGGGTGGCATCGAAGTGGTGAAGGGGGCTGAATTCCTGGCTAGGAAAAAACTTCGCGGCACCTTTTCTGGGCGAACAGGCGCAGGAAAAAAAATGAAAAATGAAAGGCGGTAAAAGGGCGACGAAGCGGCGAAGTGATGAAGCGACCAAGTGATGAAGCGACCAAGTGACGAAACAACGAAGTGACGAAGCGACGAAACGACAAAGCGAACAGAAGGAGAAAACCAACTCTGTGAGCGATTTCTCCGCGAGGGAGCATACCTGTCGCCGTGTATGCAAACATATACTTCGCACTTGCGCATGCTTATCTGTACGATACTGTATTGTACTGTACTGTTTCTTTTTTTTCTTCTTTTTTGCCATTTTACGAAACTTTTTCTTCCAAGCGCGAAGAAGCAGTTTTTTTCATTTTTTTCCCCTCCCCCCCCACAGCAGAATTGCAATTGTGGAGGAAGCCAAAGGGCGTAACATCCCCTGGGGCAGTGTACTGTACGTATTATATAAACCTGCCTGCCCGTACTTGAATTCCTTCCACAGTGTAAACTTCGTAGCAGCCCCGAGGTGGCCTCCTGGCTGTGAGGACCAGTTCACCTCCGTGGAAGGGAACACCTTTTTGTGGACGCCAAGGGCCCTGCCGACGTGAACACCTCTGCAGGTGTGGCGGGGGGAGAAGTGACGGCACGTGCCATGGGCCGCTACCAAATGTTCCACAGGGCAGTGCTTCCCATTTGGCGTCTCACCGAGCCTACCTGACGGGGCATCCCTGGAGATATTTATACGTGCATATGGATATAGGTATATATGTACATATCATTGTGAACATTTTTTATATGCTTTCAGCGGACCCTCCCTTTTGTCATTTTGCTCCACGTGGCGCTGCCATCCTGTTAGAGGCAGGCATCCTGCTTACCGCTTCCCCGTGAGAGGAAGCCATCCTGCGTTACCCCTCCCCGCCGCTCACACGAGATGCTCTCGTACACTTCCATGCGTCATCCCCGAAGATGATGAAAAAGTCAGACGAGTCGAGGCGAATCCTGAGGAAAAAACTGAACAACGACATAACGAACATCCTCTTGTTATTCGAGAAGGTACAAGAATGGGCAGACCTCAGCAACATTCTGCAGAAATTATATTTATCAATAGAAAAGTATGACGTGTTTGTGGACGTGCCGTCTAAGTTCCTCCTGTTTAGGAGGCTGTCCCAATGTCTGAACCCACTACTACCCTCAGGAGTACACTCAAAAGCGTTAATAATCTATTCAGTCATTTTTAAGAAAGTGGAGACGAGTTTTTTTATTAATAGCATCCACATCCTCTGCTCTGGCATCTTTGAATTTATGTTACACTGTACAATAAATCTGAAGACAATTTATTTTAAGAACATAAAGAGCATTCTGAACTTACGTGAGAATGTCTACATCTTCGCCTACGCTTTGCTGCTGTCTCTTTTTAACGTCGTCGACAGTGACAATAGTATTCTTCTCTATATCTATTCCATTAATAACTACATTGGGGAGAAAATCTTTTTTAATAACATATGGCTACTTCTCCTGAGGCATACCGAAATTAGAACGAATATTCTGCATTTTCTAGAAACGTCCTTCAGCCCTCAGATTTATCTTCTATCCAAAGATAGGATTAACATGCTTCTCCCTTTCAAGGATGACTTGGTTTTATCGTCCCTTATTTTTTGCCTAAAGGATAAGAGTATCATTAATCAGAGAATCACGCTGAGCTTACTGATAAATAACTTTCCTCTGAGCCAGGTCAATTTGAGTCGCCGCAGGAAGGGGGGAGTCTCTCGGGATGTAGGTAGGAGTGTCGATTATATTCCACGGGGAGATCAAAATGATGCAGGTAGTTGCGACTATGGGGTAAGAAGTGTTGACAATGGAGCCATCCAGTCGGTGGTCACGAGGTCCGCGTCGTACAACACGCGCGCCCTGCGGGGGAGGAGCGGCAGGTTAGCGGGAGAGGGGGCAGCGGACGATGGGGCGGAAGAACACGTAGCAGAAGACGGGGTGGCGGCGCCCCTCCGCTTCGCCGAGAAGTACGAGCGAGGAAACTCCAAAAAGAGATACCACCGCGATAACGACCCTGAGGAGGTAGGCAGTGGAGAATACAGGGATGGATTGCCCAAGGCCAGCCACGGTAGCAACCCGCTTATGGGCAAAACGGGTACCGGAGTGAGCCAAGGACTCTGGAGCAGTAGCCACGGGGGGGGTACAAACAACCGTGCTGTTTCGTATGATTATCAAGAGGGAGACTCATTTAGGCAACCCAGTAAGGAAGAGAAGTGTGAAGACAATGAGAAGATGTTGGATAACACTAGCATCATCGGGTTTAATGACCCCCATAGTGCTGCCATGCTAGGGGAGAAGCACGAAGTGGATGGGTTCTATGGACCCCCCGAAGAGGCGAGCAATTTTGGTAACGGGGTACGTGTGGACGGAAGGGAAGAAGAACGGGACGAGACCAGGCAAGCATTCGCGTCGACCCTCCCCAAGAGCGAAGTGAAGAAGGTCAGATATGATATCGACCCGGAGAGGCTCAGTGGGGAAGCAGTGGGAGGAGCCAGCATGGAAGGTATGGGGGCTACTTCCCAGGTAGGCCTCCCTCAAATCGATCTGAAAGAACAACTCGAGTCAACCACCACCCCATGCATCCTTTTCAACGACCTAAGTAAAAAAATCATCGCACGCAATGTCATCTTCTTATTGAAAAAAGGAGACATCGGACTGAACAGAAGGATCTTCAAATATCTCTACCTATTCGAAAATAACGATGAGAAAAATAGAAAGGAAGGAATCATAAATTTAGAAAATTATAAAATCTTCGTCGAAACGGTGATTGACATTCTGCAGAATAAATTCCATGACAACTGTCAGAGTGTATCACATGTGTTGTACACTCTCCTAAAAAATATGGATTACGTAAATATAAACAGACAGATTATGAATAAGATATTCCTCTTTCTTCTAAACTTCTGTTACAAGAATCGGGGTGACAAGAAGATAAAGCAATTCTTTCGGAATGTCCTCATGTTAAATTTGATTACCTTTGACGACATACTGAATATCTTCCTTTGCACTTTTTACTTCCTCCTGAGAAGCTATGAGACAATGTTGAGGGAGAACGATCATGAGTACACTAAGAGGTTCACAAACCTGATGAATGTGATGACTTATTTTGTAGATTTTCTTCGCCGAATCAATCGGTATGTGTACACCTACTTCTTATTCTCATTCAGTATTGCTATCTTGAGACTGATGAGTCGCTTAAATTTGGTCATCCTTTCGCTCATTAGACAATACAGTCACGTGAAAGAGCTCACCCAGAGGTGCTTCGTCGAAACGGATGAGGAGGTCTCCGGTCGGCACAGCTCTCTCTACTACTTCTTCTTCTTCGTCATGCACTACAATAATTACTACCTCAACCGATGCTTCGTGCTTCTGACCAAGGAGTGCACCCTCTTCCGCGGGATTCTGCGGCGAGGGGGAGCCTCGTCTGGCGGCCAGTATGGCGGCCCGTATGCCAGCCAGCATGCCAGCCAATATGCCAACGCCAATAGGGTGCCCCCCCCCGTGGAGGAGAAGAGGAACAAAATGCAGAAGATCGGCGAGCCGCGCTCCTACGACGACGAGGAGGGATACAACTCACCGGAGAGTAAGCTAAAACACGAGCAGTACAGCAACGAGAGGGAACTAAAAATCAGGATGGCTGACACGTCCATGGATTATATGAAGCGGAAGGTTAAGAAGAAAATGTTTGAGAGCGGCTTGAACGCCGTGTCCACTTCCAACACGGGTAGCATGTACAAGGTGATTCATTTGCAAAGGGTAGAAGCTGAGGGGAACTATGGCGCGCAAGTCAGTAGTAGCCTAGCCCCTTTCAACGACGGCGCTACCAGCAGCAGAGGTCACCTAGGCAGCAGCTACAGACTGCAGCTCGAAAATGATGAGCGGTTTTTCTCGATACTGCAAAAGTATAGACGAAATTTGAGGAGAAATTTGACCGATTCGATAGTAAAGAACAGCGAATTGTATTTCTTCACCAATAACTACGAGTATGTGATTTTTTTATTTTATAATTACCACTTGCTAGTGGAGAGGGAACATGTGAACCGAAGCTGCTACTTCTTTCTTAGACACATTCTGAGGAACTGCTCCTCGGACAATGAGGAGAAGTTTTACTTCTGGTGTGTGCTCTTCCTTCACGTGGTGAGAATAAACTTTAACAGGTCTCTACTTAAGGGTTCGAAGCCGACCGAGGGGGAAGAGCCGTACAGTCCGGTGTGCGCGGGCAAGATGTACTATGGGAAGCGGAAGGGGGGCAGGGCCCAGCAGGAGGAGTCTCTCGCCGAGGGAAGCGGCGTGATGGAGAGTCCCCTGAGCAGTGAGAAGAAGCAGAAGAATCAGATCAGCCAGGTGAACCTCACGCAGAAGGACAACCACACAGGGCAGTACAACCACGCAGGGAAGTACAACCAAATGAGGCTTACGGACGAGCTGAAGGGGAAGAGGAGAGCCCCCCCCCTCCACAGTCACCTTGCAAACACGGAGCAGGAACTTCTCTTCAGTATAACCTTCATGGAGGGGCTACTCATCTACGCCAATAAAATTGTCAAGTGCATTTTCCACTACATCAAGGTGTTGAGGAAGAACAAAAAATTCATAAAAATCTTTTTCGATATGAACTATCTGTATTTTTTCTGTGACAACATGTATTGTTTGAAGATACTGAGAGATTCGCTGAAATGCAAAGACAACTACGAATTGACGATAAACGTGAGAGTCATTTTGGAATTCATTTTGAATAATAAGACAAGTGAGTACCACATCATCCACTCGAATTTCTACAACTTAACGCATGATGTGTTTAAACTATACAGTCGGAGGAACACGCTGATCAATTACTATATGATTAAGTTTATAAAGTCTAACAAGAAGAACTTGGCGTACATTTTGGACAACATAATTATCAGAATGTTTGATTTGATAAACGAGATTGAGGAGGGACTGTTGTCTTGCTCAGCGGGTGATGCGGCGGGTGGGAGTTACGAGGAGGTGCCGGTCAGTGGGGCGGTCACTGGAGCAGTGAGCGGACCAATCAGTGGCAGCGCAATTTTGAGCGGACCGCAAGTAACCGCGCAGATAAACTATGAAAAGTGCCTTCGCAAACTGAAGTGCAAGTTTGACTATATTAACTTCTTCTTCACCGACATCGAGAACTTCCTGTTGTGGCTATACAAGCACAGAGTGAGTAAACGAATTTACAACACAAGGAATAAAATGTCGCTGCATAATTATGAGAGGAACCTGCCCATAGTGATGTGCTACATTTGCACGGAGGGGAACATAAGTGCGGCCTATTTTAGGAACTACCTGGATGTGTTTTTCCTCCTCTTCTTGAAGATCATATATATTAACGAGAATGTTGGAGAGATCGGCACCAGCGCGGGGGAGACGGCGATCAGCCCGATCAGCGGCGGTGGTGGCCTTGGCGTGGTTAGCGGCACGAATAACGCCAACAGCGTTAACAATGGGAATAATGTCGATAATGCGGATAATGCGGATAACACCGCTGACCTCGCCAATATAGCCAACGCCACAATCCCCTCTAACGCCGCTAATAATGGCGCCGCTCCGCAGGAGAAAAACTCGCTGAAGCAGAGCATGTTGCTGGAGTTCAAGAGAGATGTTATCAGCCTCATCACCCAAATATTCTTCTGTGCATACAGTTACAACAAAAAAATGGAATACCTAAAAATACTTAACAGCTACTATCGACAAATCATCCATCATATGTTATTTCTTTACTTTTACTTCACCCTGAAGAAGTACTACATTTTGCAGATCCAGTTGATCAATTTTATAAAAAATATACTCCCCCTGTATGAGACAAATACGGACAAAAATGTCTTCTCCTGTGATGTGCTCGAGAAAGACATCACCTTTAGGAAGGTCATGAAACATACAAACTACGAGGAGTTCATTTTGGCTAGCAAGTACCACTACGAATTAATCAATCAGTATAATCTGCGCGTAAAAAATGACGTCTTCATATTTAGCATCCTCCGAAAAAGTATGACCATCGTATTTAACTTCAATGAGCATGTAATCTACAAAGAAGTACTCAAGACTATCATCTATCTGATCGAAAATATCATCGTGGAGAAAGACGTCAAGTCGTATTACCTTACTGTCTTCCTTCTGGACCTTCTCTACATCATCAAATCGGAGGCGCAAAAGAAGAGAAAAAATATTTTCTTTATTATGAAATTTTGTCACTTTTTATGTGAAGTTTTCAAAATAATCTACAAGGATGAATTGAAGACACAATTGAAATTTCAAGACAGATTCGAGTACGATGGGAAGATAACCGTCGACGACATTGAGAATAGTCTCTGTGAAGGGAAGATCTCCACTGCCGCCTTCTGCACTGTGTTTTCTATCAAGACGGATGACAAGTTTGTCAATATGCAACACAAAAATATCTCCACTCTCTTCTCCGTTATCTTCAATTTGTATGCCTATTTGAAGAAGAAGCTCAGGGTGTACTGCCGGAACAATAGGAGCCTCCTCACTCACGACGACCGAAACGCCCCTCCGAACAGCAGCCACTACAATAATGGCAGCGTCTACAATAATAATAGCAGCGTATACAATAATAATAGCAGCGTCTATAACAATAATGGAAGCATGTACAATGAGAATGGCGGCCCCATCGGAGCCGGCGGCGTTAGTGGAACCATCGACCCGGTTGCTGGGACTATGGACCCGCTTAACACCGCCAACTCCGACGCTGGCATGTTTGTCAACGTGTTTTCTCAAGGCGGAGGGCCTCTTGCACGCGGCGGCAGCCCCGTCAATCACGCATCTGTGAACAGCGACCCCGCCGCGAGGTACTCACCCGATGTGCTCCGCATGAGTGGTGCGGCGCGTGCGGAGGAAACCATTCGAATGAACCGAGGCGCTTTCATGGAGGACACCATACGGATGGGTAGCACAGCGGATAGAACCCTCCGCATGAATGCAGAGGTAAGTGTAGAGGCTGACGCGGCAATGGGCGCAGCGGTGGATGCGGCGATGGATGAGGCAGTTCGGATGGAGGCACTTGGAAGCAACGTAGCGGTGAATCTTCAGCGGGGCGCATCCTACGGGCAGTACGCCAGCAGGAGCTACGCCTATGGGGGGGTCCCACCATCTGTTGGGAATGAGCACATGGGACATCTGGGTGTGGAGAATCTCGGCGTGGAGAACCTTACCGTGGAGAACCTTACCGTGGAGAACCTTACCGTAGAGAACCTTGGCGTGGAACCCCTTAGCATGGAGCAGCTTCAAATGAATCCGCATATCGTGGAACCTCTCGGGATGGGAAGCGGCACCGCGGTTAGAGGAGGAGAAGAAGGAGGAGGAAGCTTCGGGCCGGCCCAGCACTTAACAGGTGCTAATGAGCAGCTACGCGCAGGCAGCGACTACCTAGTGCAGAATTACGGACGGGGCGACGGAAGTTTTCCTTTCCCAGGGGGGACAAACGTTGACGAGGAGTTCCTGCAAGTGGATGGCGGAACATTGGGGGCCTATCCGAACGGGAAGTATATTTATCGTGAAAATTTGAACAAAGGGAGCAGCGAGGTGGTGACTCAAGGAATGAACACAGAGGGACACGGTTTGGAAAGCGGTGTCATTGGCGGGGCCTATCCAAGTGTGTACTACGGTAGCGTTGGGTATGAAAATGAGCAGATTCAGATGGATGAGACGATGCCGATGCATGGAGATGCGTTGGGAGTGTGTGGAACTCAGCAGAGGGGAGGACCCCTGGGAGGGGGCAATCCAGGAGTAGGCCTTCTACGAAGCGACATGCAAGGGGAGCAGCCCCCCCGCCAGCAGATGAACGATGTGAGGAACGGGACGTTTAACAGGGATGAGCTAGCCAGTGTGATGGGTGCGGTGGACATGGCGACGGGCCCTGTAGGAGGGGGAGCAGCAGTCGGAGCAGCAGTCGGAGCAGCAGTCGGAGCAGCAAGGGCAGCATCATCATCCGCTGCTGCATCCGCGGCAGTGGGGTCTCTGACGGGGGACATTCGCTTCAACGTGCAGAATGACAACAACGCTTTGGCGAAGACCGACGACAGTACGCTAGCCTTGTCAAATCGAATAGAGCACTCCTTCCTGTACAGAGGCAACCTTAAGAGCAACGGTACCTCCAACGAAGGGTCCAAGAGGAATAAGAAGATACTCCTACTGAAGGTGTGCCTACGGAACATCATTTCGATAAATAAATTGCTCTATTTCGTGACGAGAAGCGACTTCCTCTTTATAGATAGCCTTTACACCATCTTTAAGGAGTATATCTCGAAGAGGAAGGAGTACAATCCGGACAAAGTGGAGGACTCGGATGATGACACGGCTTCGTCCACACATGAACAGAGGAACCGCTTTTTGAAGAATGTCATGAGGGTGGCGCGCATGGGGAACGGTCAGCCGCTCGAGGGGGATGACTACGACGAAGGGGAGGACGATAGAGGGGACGACCGCGAAGGGGAAGACGACGAGGAGGACGACGAAGATGACGACGACGATGATAGTTGCGACGGAAACTACAACGACAGCGAAAACGACTACAACGAGTACAACTGCGAGGGGAACGACCACGATAGTGATTATGATGACAGCGACAGCGACCACGATGAGCAGAAGATTATACAAGAGCACGTGGACCATTTCGTTGACGATAACGGAGGGATCATGGGACCGGCAAACCTCAACATGACCCACATGAGCAACATAAGCAGCGGGAAAAAAAAAAGGAAGAAGAAAAGAATAAGAGAATACTTTAGGACGGAAAAGAAATTGTTAAAAAAATTTAATTTTATTGGAAAATCTAGTAAGAGCTCGATGAAAAAAAGTATGATTGTTATGAACAAGTCAGGTGAATTTATTGAAAAAAAAAAATTATCATTTTCTCTAACTCTGCTAACCGAATTTCATGACGATATATTGGTAAAAATTTTGGACGATTTATTAAATTATTATGAGAAATATAAGACCAAAATAAACATAAATGAGTTTATGAATTTTGTGTTTCACATATATTTGAACATTTGCACACTTACCAAGAGGGTTATAAACTGCTTTATCGATTTTATATTTTCACTGATAAAGAAAATTACGCAGACGTCTCAAAATATTATGAGCAGCCTTTGGTTTCTGTACATCCTCTTTGTCATCGAGAATAACCATCTCTATGTGTTTAATGACAAGTTGCAGAAGAAGATTATCCTGGAGCAGATAAGTATATTGATCCAGATTTCTCTCTACAGTTACTACTCCAAGAATGTGAAGAATAATTACAATGTGCAGACTCCTCTTCCCAGTTTTGTCCTTCCCTTTCATATTCATTACATCGTTCAGGATTATTTCCTAAGTAATAATTTTTTCAAAAAGAGGAAGAAAAACGCGAAATGTTATTATATGAAGAATTTGAAGCTTATAGAGAAAAATTTTAACATCAATGATTACTCAGAGATAGCTGCGATCAACGCGTTGTCTTTCCTCCTTCTATGCTTCTATCACCTCGTGGTGAATAGCGGCACTTCGGGGGATGGCACAGCAAATGGTACTGATGCGAATCATGGAGCGGCTCATGGCACTGGGCACGCCGCTACGCACACCACATCACACAGTAACAACAACCATACGAGTGGTAACAGTCAGGGTGGAAGTGGAAACGGGGCAAACCAAGTCAAGAGCTATATCTGCGAATCGTCCGTCAACCTGTTTTACGAAAATTTCAACAAATACCTTTCGCTTATCTATAACAACAGCTTACAGAATGTTTTCTTCCGATACTCTTTTTTACTAATCATGAATTTGCTTATCGATTACAATTACAACTGCAAGTATTATATAAAAAAAATTACCTTCGATTTGTATTCCTATATCACCAACGTGGACATACGGTGCTTCAAGGCCTTGGCGAGTATTTTCAAAAAACTCAACGAGTCCAACATTGATGAGTTATTGCTAGTCCCTACGAGCAGCATTTTCTCCCTCAAGTTTAACATAATAAATTCAAGGATTAACTATATTAACAAACTATCGCTAATAATCTTGGCAGGGAATCGAAACTTCTACCTTTGCCACCTGCCCAAAATTGCAGAGAACATTTCCGAGTATCTCAAATTCTGCACCGACTTGAAGCTGTATAGAGAAATATTAATTCTGATCTGCACCATCATCATTAAGAATGACGAAAATGAGATTTATATTATCATCCCGACGTTCATCTCCCTGATTCTTCAGATTTACCATGTCGAGCGGATGAAATACAAAATTGCTGTAGAGGACATAAAGAATGTGGACAAGGATGACGACAATTATATTTATGACTTCAGCTCGTATAACAATGCAGATGTGTTATCTCTTCTCAAGACGCTTCTCATTATTATCAACATCTTGGTCAAACGGAATGTCAGCTTTATTAATTTTTACTCCTGGATTTTCTTCAAGGACATTTCCATAAAGAGGAACTCCTTTTCGGCGCACAGGGACATGGGAAACTACGCCACGGGGGGCAGCATCGACCTTAACCAGATTGGGGGGGGTAGCGGGGTGAGCCGCATGAGCGGCATGAGCGACATGAGCGGCCTTAGCCCCGTTAGCCGCCTTACCGGAGGGGCCCCTCTGCGAAGTGGCCTCCCCGGTGCGCCCGCCTTATCCCGCGACAAAGACAGCAGCATCCACGTGCTCGCCAACGATGAAAGGCTCGGCGTCCGCCTCCACGGCGTTGGGGGAGGAAACGCGCAAGTAGAGTCCTCCACCCTTCGCAGCAAGGTAGAAGAAGACCTCGAAGCCAATGTGGAGCTGATCCAAGGAGTTTCTCACGAACCGGACGGAAGAACATCCAAAAAGGATATGTTAGAGAATGGAGACGAGGATTATTTCTCATCCTGTGCCAACCGAAAGGAACAGAACGGCAGTGGGGACAAGGACGATATAATCACCATCCTGTTGAATGCCAATCAGGAGGAGGACCTCTTTAGCAAAGGAAGCAGCATGTCGCCATCTCACCTAATAAAGAACACCGCACTGCAGAATAAGGCAAGAACGGAGGAGGGGAAGTTTGTTGCCTTCCTCGACATTATTGAGAAGCTGTACGCTCCCGCTGCTCCGCAGAAGAGACACAAATTGGGTGCCGACGGAGGGGAGGGCGCCAATAGTGCCACCGAGCCCATTGCATCTGCGATTACAGCTACGGGAGAGGGAAGCCCGAGAAGTACAAACCTCCCCCCTGTCCAAGGCAGCGGCAGAAATGATAAGGCGAACGACCCAGGGGTAAGATTCCTCAACGAGCTGGAAAAGGAAAATGCAGAGGGAGATCAACACACCCTTGGAGGAGCAAACCATCCTGATCGCCGAAACCGCCGACATCATCACAGCGGCTACGCCAACAATATAAAGAAAAACTTCTACTACTGTGACAACTACCTAAGTGACTACATACTCAGCGGGAAGAATCAGCTCTCAGGATACTCCTCATGTGAAAATAACTTAAGTAGCTCCTCTGTGAACTCCGTAAGGAGTAATTTCTCCGACAATTTCGTGAAAGATTTGAATGCAATTCTGTCCAATTCTTCCGATGACCCTGATGTTAGCAATAGCAGCTCCAACGATGTCAGCCATCTTTCTCACATGATGCCAAATGTAGAGAATGATGATGAGTTGTCCTCCGATGATATCTACAGCATGGCAAATGACAAGTGGAACCATGTGCATTGTTTGCTTCATTACGATATGAACGAGATGGGAAAGAAGAAGAAGAAGAAAAAAAAAAAAGTTTCCATCCACTCGTGCAAGAATATCCCCCTCATTTTGGTATACCTGTCCAAAAAAATTAAATTAAATTTTTACAAATATTCTATGAAGAAACCCAAAGATGAGACCCTCATTCTGCTCAAGGAGTTGAACTCCGTGGAGAACGAGATCAACGATTTGTTTTTGGAAGTGGACCTGAACCAGGTGTACGCGGACTTTCTCATGAGGTAGAAGCAAGTGGCAAAAAGGGATAGGCGCAGCATGGATGGCACGCGAAGCGGTGTGTCCTGTGCCATGTGCCATTTTCGGTGTGCGTTTTTTTCCCGTACCATTGCAACCCCCCTCGGGGATGGCGACGACTGTACATTTGTGATCCCTCCATCGTTTGTTACTCCCCTCGCCCTTGCGCAATTGTACTGCTAGGTGCGTGTCGGCCAAGACGGGTCAGCTGCGTCCGTTGTGGGCGCAGCAGATCGATTGGCATCGTCGCTTCGACGCGAATAATAGCTTATCCGTTTTTTATTTTATTTTTTTTTTTCCCTTTTGATTTTCCCCCATTGCATGAGTGATGCGCATTTCTAATAACTCTTTCCTGTCCGTTCTCCCACCGAACGAACCAAGGTGCGGAACTTGCAAAAATGAGTAAATCTAGTAAGGTGCTTACGTTGCTGATTTTCACCCATTTGGGGTTATCGGGATAAGTTCATGGAGCAATGAAAACGACGAGGTAATCAAAAAAAATGGAGGACAAAAAGCGCGAAGGGGTGGTACACAAATATGGGGAAAAAAGAAGCTATTCTACCCAAGCGGACCAATCATTCGAATGTCTTTCCTTTTACCCACATTTGTATGTCACCTTCTGTCTGTCCCTCCGCTGCGCAAAAGAAATTTCCAAATTGTATAACCTGTTCAGGCATTTTTGGAATTTTTTTTTTCACAGAATAATGACATTTTGGCTGGCTACTATAGCTACATCATGCCAATGAGCGTAGATAATTTGTTTTCTTTTTTCTGTAAACCGTTACACAGATACCGCTCTCACTTATGCTTGTAGAAAACGGGAACGGAGGGGTCGGTCCCTCCAATTTTGTGTTTGTACGAATCGTAAGCATCTTTGAGGTACTTCCTTTTGATGGTTTTAAAATTGTACACGTAGTTGTTGTTCTCTGCGAACTCGTTGGTCTGCTGGATGTGCGGCGTTATAACTGGCACTCCGACGCGGAAGAGGAAGTGTCCTAGGGAGGATACGGATGGGGGGTGGAAAAGCGGAAGCAAGTTACGAAGCAGGTTAGGAAGAAGCACGTTTCATGCTTCACACATTGGGTCACGTGCCGCAACACCAAGGGGTACGTCCCCTGGCACAGTCATCGCGCACAAGATACCCGTTTTAATTTTGAAGGCATTTTCCTTATCGCCGTTTATCAAGCTTAGCATGGACTGTATTTTTTCAATGTCTGCGGAATGGGGAAGATTGAGTCATTGGTCAAATTGGGGCCAGGAAATGCGCGCTATATATACAGCATATTAGCCCATGGGACATGCCGCCATCCTTAGCACTCGTCGGGGGGAGGGGGTAACCAAATGGCCCCTCACACGGCTGTCGAAGGCAGCGAGAAGTTGCACACAGGTCTAAAGCAATGTTCACTGTTGCTTTTGCGCTTTGCCTTTTGCGCTTTGCCATTTTCCCCTTACTGTTGTAGTTATTCATTATGCTCTGTCGAATTTTATTTTTCATGTAATTTTCGTAGTGGAAGGCCGTGACGTCGTACATGAGCTGATTGACGAAGCTCTGGTTTTTCCGGAAGAACTCGCTTAGCCTGTTTTTGCTGTAGCAGCCTTCCCGCTTAAACCTGAACGCCATCCTGCGTCATCATTCGGTCAAGCGGTTTAGCGGTCGTGTGCTGTGGAGCTGGCCCCGCGTGAGAGTCATGCAAATGGACGTACACGTCTGCACATAAATGCGAACGTATGTATGTATGGACGCATGTATGTATGCACGGATGTATGTATATATGCACATATATACAGAACGTGTGGAACCCTGCCTCGAGATAGCGCCGGAGGGTCTGTTTTTTATTTTATTTATCTTATTTTTTTCCTCCTTATGATGTGCCGTTTTGGAAAGAAATACATTCCTGGCGTCTCAGTGCGATCGGACACAGTCTCCCTCCGATTTTACAACTTCGCCGTGGTCATGTTTTGGTGTGATGGATTTTTTTTTTTTTTCCATTTTCCCCTTTTGGAACCACAAGATGGGAAGGAACCAAAGGGGGTAAGTTCATTAAGTGGGGAAAAGAAGATATATATATTTTTTTTTTTTTTTAATTTCCATGTAGGAGAAATGCGAGATTTAGTCAATCGATAATGTAGCAATTTTTCAATTTCATTCCGCAGCAAGTTCATGCTGGGGTTGGACTAAATACAGAGGAGCTTAACCACGGCATGATGCTCACTATTATGCTAATATTGAATATGTTAATACGCGGCCACTTAATTTGAAGCCCCGCGTAAGGGATGGATGGCATTTTTCCCCCAGTGCAGTGAAATAGCATTCCGAAAGGGCGACCCTTAAAAAGGAGCCACATGAATAGAGATATATATGCAAGCTGCGCTCGTTAAGGTGCCTTTCCAGAGTAGTGTTATCAATGAAAGAATTGCATGCATTAAGGGATTAAGCTGTGTCGCGAGGGGAGGCCCATATCGTGCTGATGGGGGATACCCCAAATCAATATTCTCTCTCCAGTTGGCACCTTCGGGCAAGCACGTTCAATTTAATGTACTACCAATGGGGGGGGAGGCGGCTCGGCCGAGGGGGCATAATATAAGCCTCATTTTAACGTTCCCTAGTGCCATTCTTCTTTATGCTGATAAAAGGGTGCCTTATGTGTGGTTGTTGTTTCTACGTCGTACAGGAACCACTTCGATGAGCTTTCTATACAAGGTATCTCCAAGCATCAGCTGATAAGAAAAAAAAACGTTGCTTCAGGAGGTTGCAAGATTGTTAGGCTGGTGCAGCAGCTTATGTAGCTTGTGCAGCTGATGTAGCTTGTGGGGAACGGTTTTCTCCGCTGTACTTCTCTACCCGCAATGGGGCAATATACCTCTCGTGTGCATGTTTGTCGTTACGTATGCACTTTTTTTTTCTCCGTCGGCCGCGGCACGAAAAAGGGGTATTCTTCCACGCGGAGAGGTCTCTCCCCATTTTATTTATTTTATTTTTCTCCCCCATGAAAAATTGTGGCCTCAATAGTAAAGCGAAAATTGTAAAAAAATAGAAAAAAAGTTTGAGAGCTTCACAGTTTCGTATTTTTTTTTTCTTTTTTTTTTACGTTACATGTTATGAACACTTCACCGCATGATATTGAGCGGAATAGGGACTGATGAAGGAGAAAAAAAATTGCTAAAAGGATTCATATTTGACCTTTTTTTATGTACCTTCTTCTTACCTGCGTATGCGTCATATGTACAGTGAAGTTCGCGCGGGGAAGTACGTGAGAGTTGTATGCGCCTCTGCAGTTGTATGCATAGCAGTGGCAGCGGCCGAGGAGTAGCAAAGATATTCCCCCACGAGGGAACCGGAAAATAGAAAGAAACAAGGAGAGAGAAGGAACGAAGAAAGGATAGGGCCGCCCAAACAGAGCAACGAAGAAAAAGAGCACTGTCGAGGTATAGGACCGACGAAGGAGCTAACTTTCCCTTGTCACCAGCCTTCTACATATGTTTACCCCGTTGAGCGCCACCCACGTGTTCTACGCGTTGCATGTGCAACCTCCTTGCAAACTTCATCGCTGCAGAGTCTAGTCATCGCGGAGACTCCCCCTCAGCACAACTCCTTCTTTCAAATTTGTCTTATCGATCCTTTGTCCTCGAGGGGGTTGCCTCTACATGCCAGCGTAGCAGTGCGAGTGCACATACCGCAACAGTGTATTGATCAATTTAAGGAGGTCAAGGCGCAACGTGGGTCACATCGACGGAGCGGCCTGGATTAGGAGAAAGGTGTAGAAAAGGTTCCTTTGAAAGTAGTCCCATCCTGGCGGAATAGTCCCTCCCCGGCGAAGTAGTCCCTCCCTGGCGGAGCCAACCGATTCGCACGCCGAGGAAGGCATGTCGGAGATCCATCGAGCGGAAGACCCCATGCATGACGCGGAAATGGACGACGGGGTGGAGACGTCAAGTCGGATGGACGGGGAGTACAAGAGTGCCAATTACGGCAATGTAGGATACCAAGAGGGGGAGCAAGAAGGGGCCACCTACCAACAGGAATACACATCGAACGGTCAAAACGATCAAGAGGAACAAGCGGCCGTTGCAGGGGAATATCCATATGAAGGGAACTACGGTAATAACTTAAACAAGGAACTCCTGCGCAACGGGACAAGTAAAAAAAAAAAAAACAAATACGGAGGGATATTTAGTAAGGGGAAGGGGGAGAAGGAGAAAAGAAACGGAGAAGAGAAGGAGGAGACCCCATACTGCTCGTTTAATAATTTCCAGGAAGGCATAGACGGAGGAGCCAACCAGGAGGGTGCAAGTGAGCAGGTACCCCCGAACGGGGGTGGATACAACAACCAGGGATACGACGAAGAGAAGGCAGAAAATCCGGGAAGGAGCGGCCATCGGGGAGGGAGCGATGACGAGCAGGAGGACGAAGCTCCGTTCAACCAGGAGAAGCTGAAAAAGATGGACAAGAGAAAAAAAAAAATGATCGAAAGAGGGAAGAAGAAGAAGAAAGAAAATGTAGATGACAAAAAATTCAGTGAAGTGTACAATTCTATATACGAAAATCTGAAGAAAAAAAAAGGATCAAAAAAAAGCGGAGAGGATCACTATGGGAACAAAAACGATTTCTACGAAATCAATTATGCTTCGTCAGATCAGGTGAATTCCACCTCCAGTGTAGACGATGACTCCATTTTCAGTGATGATGTGTTGAAGAAGTATATCATTGGGCAGATGCTAAACATCATCAGGACGTCTTTCCATTGGGCCATCACCTCATTTTTGCTATTCACCCTTTTCGAACACTTCTCCATCTTTTACGTATACCGACTGGTGTCATTTTTAACACTGATCCTTTTTACCCCCATATCGATTTATCTGGTGAAGTCACAAAGCATCAAATTTTTCCTAATAGCGACAAACACGGTTCGGCTCATCATATGGGGCTTCTGCATCCCCTTTCTCTACACCCTCTACCGTGATGAAATCAAGAAGTACTACGTAAATCGCTTTTACGAGTTTCTCTTTACTCTCCTGCTGCTGGTAGACAATGTGCAGGTTAATATTTCCAATCTGATCGACATAGACAATAACGGAATTGATTTTCTGTCGAAGAAGTACCACTTGAAGATCACTGAGAGGGCGAAGAGGAGGTTTCTGACCCTTCACCAGTTCTTTTTCGATGCCTCTTTTATCGTGCTGAACCCATTGATTATATTCGTTATGTACCTGTTTAGCAACTTCTTCAGTGAACCCTACCTTAGAGATGTCTTCATTTATCTCTCTTCATTGATTTTTTCTGTCATTACGATTATTTCTTTGGTCGTCTACACCATGGGGTTAGAAGAAGCGGAGAAGACGTTGAAGCAGACCTTCGGAAAGCACCGTTCTGCGTGCCTAGAATCGCAGGCTACAGCGGAAGACAGTGTAGAAGAAGACATGGTAGAAGCGGGTAACTACGACAGGGGTGAGATGGAAGACAACGACGATGATGAGGAGGAGGAAGAGCAAGATGAGGAGGCCGGCACCGCTACGCGACGTGGTAATAGAAATAAGCGTACCAATCTACATTCCAATCGACGCGGAGACAAACGGGAGGACGACCAAAACGACCAACACCGGGATAACGAAGATGATTTCGAGAAATACTATGCCAGACATAGCAACAAGGAGAAAAAACATGTCTCTTATAGTAGCTATCCAAACATCTATAATGATCAGACGAAGAAGTACCTCACGGAGAGATCGAATATCGAGTATGATGATTACAACGGGTTCGAGAACATGTCTTTGAAGAGCCAATACAGAAAGCAATTTTACGAATTGGTCGATAATATCCTTCGGATTAAGAATGACAACACGCTGCTCTTTTATATATGCTCCCTCTCTTTCCTCAATAGTGTAGAAGACATGATGATACTCATGCTCATCCCTCTGACCTGTATCTACGTGTCTGAGTTCTTCTATATTAATAGCATCTTCGTTCAGCTGCTCATCGCGGTGATATTGATTTCCCTCACCAAGTGCTTCGAGAATATCTCCTACTACTCCAACAAGAGGAACATCATCGCGGTGAAGGACATTTTCATGTGAGTTGTGTGACCCCGCGACGGGGCGTAGCATTTATGAAGCGTTAGCTAGGTGGTGACTCCCCAGTCGTGCACCACCGCCCGGACTGCTTCGCTTCATCGCCTCGACGTTTTATGGCTTCACCGCCTCGACGTTTTATGACTTCACCGCCTCACCGCTTAACCGATTCACCGATTCATCGCTTCCCCCATTCACCGCCTCCCCCCTCGCAGCGGAATCATCCTGTCCGGAGCCTCCCTCGTCTTCTTTTTCTTCCCCTTCCTGATGATCAACCACCTCAACATTTACAGTTTTTTAATCTTCTACATTTTCTGCTGCCTCTTCTATTTCTTCTTCTCGACCAATTTGAAGACGACGTAAGTTTGGCCTTCCTCCGCAGAGGCGTAGAAGCATAGAGGCGCAGTGCGGGGCGACCACAGTGTGTTTGCTTCAGTCCGACCAATGTGGTCACCACCGACCTTTTCCCTCACCCCCTTGCACTTCGCTAAATGCCATACTTCTATTCTCCCCTTCCCCCCCGCAGGCTCTCCCTAAACCTGCAGAAATACGTGCGCGAGTCCAAATCGGACATTTACAACTTCGTGGGGCTGTCCATGTCGTTTGTAAATCTCTTGTTTGTGATTCTGACTGCCTTCTTCCTATCGCTGATGGATAACTTCGTCCTTAACTACGTGATGATTTGCTTCTTTTTGATTCTCTTGCTGGGCTTGCTCTATGGCTGGGCGACCTCAACGCTGAAGGATTCCAATCAGGCGTAACCAGGTCAGCGATGAAGAGAGCGGTGAAGGGATCGGTTGACAGACTGCTACAGAGACCGCTGTACAAACAGATGGACATACCACTGAACAAACTGATGAACAAACAGATGGACATACCACTGAACAAACTGATGAACAAACAGATGGACATACCGCTATACAAGCCTCTAGACAAACCGCGAGAGAAACCGATGAACAAAGTGATGGATTCCCCCCACACCCCTTACAACGCGACAGTCACCTAATTAAGAAAACTTTTTTGTCATTTTTTTGATACCCATCATTTTCGGGCTTCTCCTTTTGGGGGCTTCTCCATTTGGGGCTTCTCCATTTGGGGCTTCTCCATTTGGGGCTTCTCCCCCTGCGTGCCACTGATTTTTAACCCTCCTTGTCATGTACCTAACTGCAGGCCTACGCGACGCGGTGACAGTGATTTTTTTTTCCGCGCGTTGTGCCCACGTTGTGCCCATTTTGCGTGTACCATTCTGTGTCTAGCATTCTTTGTACTATACTGCGTACTATTCTGTGTGTACTATTTTGCGTACTATTCTGCGTACTGTTGTGCCTGTTTCTCCTCGTCATGCATACCCCTTTATGTACAAGTATACCCGTTGCCTCCAGCCAGGTTTTCTACGAAATTAAATTCTTTCCCCCTCTGCACGCTTTGCCCTTTTACACCTTTTGCCTTTTTAGACGTTTTGCCTTTTTGCGCACTGCCCCTTTTGCGCACGTAAGTAGTATGTACAACTTCGTTCCGTCAGCACTCATCGGGCCGCTAAACTCGCTCAACTCGGCGCGCGCCTCCGCGTCTCTCACGTATTGACAATAGACAATTGATATGCTCACAATGGACTTCTTGACCGTTTGGCCACCCTTGTGCGCCGCTGTCCAAAGAGACCCCATGGGGAAAACCGCCCCTTCTTGACAGCGTATCGAACGCTGGGACGATCAAGCTGTGGAAATTGTTCCCAAAAGGAGAGGAAGATCTGCTTGGGCATATGCGGTGTACACATGTTAAAAAAAGCAGACGATGTGTGTTTTTCTCCCCCCTGGTGCTGTGACACATACGGTGAAGACGCTAAATGGGGAGAGAAAAAAGGAAAAAATGACGCACAACGGGGGTAGAGACAAGTGCATACATAGGCAAACGGTCATACACACAAAAAAAACTCTTCAGAAGAGGCACAAAAACAAACGATGTGCGGACCACATGCAGATGGTCGACCCCCGAGGGGGCAACCCAAACGTGAGCAGCACAACCGGAGCAGCAACACCGGAGCAGCAAAACGGAAGACAAAAAAAAAGAAACGACACCCGATTAGGTACAGATCAGCGCTTAGCACGCTTGGTATTTATTAGCTCGATCTCCTGGGGGGAGAAGTTAAAGGTGTTGTAAATAACCGAAACATAGTCGTCAATTTTGATATGAGAAGGGATCTGCGCGATAAAGTTTTGCAAGATGTTCTTCTGATACAAGACGTGTTCGTAGTTCCCACTAATGGATTCATAGATCTTTATTTGGCTAGTCAGCGCGTTAATGTGTTCTAAGAGGTTCTTTTTGTCCTTCTTTTCTTCGCTAATCACCAGTTCGTATGTATCGAGTTTTTTCCTGATTTTTTTGTATTCATTTGGATATATAGGTATCTTGGTGCCATCCTCCTTTTTGTCCTTCTCGAAGTGGGAGGCGGCGTCGCATCGGTTGACAGCATCGCAGTGGGAGAAGCCTTCCCTTTTGTTGCTTTTTTTGAGATCGGAGTCGACGTGCCCCTCGCTGTCAATCTCTGAGCGGGTCAGTTCTTGGAAGTCCTTCTTCTCCTGGACCCCTCCACTTCGCCACTTCTCTCCAGTGGTGGAGCGACTCAGGTCGCCCGCGGCATCTCCCCGGGGGGGGAGCGGTTGGCCTGGCGGCGTCGACTGCTCAAACATCTCGCACGTCTCTGACCGCTCTGACGTCTCGGATTGCTCTGACCGCTTCTCCCGCCGCACCTTCGACTTCTCCTCGCTGGAGAAGACCATCCGATCCACCTGGTGGAGGAGCAACTGGATCTTGTTCTGCAGCAGCGCCTCCTTCTCACTGAAAATGGCCTTCATCTCGTTAACCTTCTGCTGACATTCCTCATCAAACTGTTCCCTGCACTTTCTCTTTATTTCCGCCCTCTCCTTCTGCATCTGTTTCTTCAAGTCAGCTATGACAGCATCCTGTTTCTCCCTCATATTTTTCTCTCTACAAACTTGTCCCTCCAGCGCCTTGTACTTTTCCGTCATGGAAGACACTTCATTCTTGTATGACTCAATGTCTTGTTCGTATTTCAGGAGGGAGTTATTCAGTCTTTGTATTGTGTCATTTTTCTCGTCTATATTTTTCCAACTTTCGTTTGTCTCGTTAATCAGGGCGGTTACTTTTTTCTTATACGCGAGGAATTCCTCTTCGATGCGGGTCTTCTCCTCCTCCATTAGATTTCTCTCCTCCATCATCTGCTTCTTCTCCTCTTCGACGCGCCTCTTCTCCTCTGCAATTTTCTCCACCTGAAGAACTTGCTCCTTTTTCTGCTCCCCTAACTCGTTTAGGTGTTCGTCCTGCAGACATGTCGGCACTTTCACAGTGGGGTAACTCTGCCTGAACAATTCCTCCGGCACGATGTGATACTCTCCATTTTTGGTGAAACAGACAAGACGATTCGACTCAGTGGAAAAGAGAAACAACACATCTTTGTCCCGGAGATCCAACTTCAATTTGTTCCAGTCCGCTCCATGCTGAGCAACGATACTTTGGAGCTTCTCCACTTTTTCGTGTTCTTCTTCTATCTGGACCTTTAGGAAATCGTTTTCTCGCTGCAATCTTTTCGCCTCCTCCGCGTGGGTCTTCGCTTCCTGCAGCTGAGTGGTGAAGACGTTGCACTTTCTCCTCAGCTCCTCCACTTCCTCCGTCAGTTCCTTCTCCAGTTCCTTCTCTTTTTTAATCTCCTCTCGATGTCTTTCTAGTTCGTCCTTAAGATGCGCAAGTTCTTCCTTAAGCTGCTCAATTTGACTTTTCTTCCCTCTGCACTCCTCCTCCAGCTTCCTAACTTCCTCCCCCCTTCCTTTGCACTCCCCCTCCAACCGTTCTATCTCCCTTTTCTTATTCAATGTGTACGCCTTAAATTTGGCCAGTAGGTTTATTTTCTCCTTCTTCATATTTTCTATGTCCTCCTTTAGCTTCGTTATCTGACTCTGGAGCTCCGCCACGGCGGGGGCATCTCCTGAAGTGACCTCCTCCACTGGGGCGACTTCCTCCACTGGGGCGACTTCCTCCACTGGGGCGACTTCCTCCACTGGGGCGACTTCCTCCACTGGGGCGACTTCCTCCACTGGGG